TATAATGAGTTTCTTTTTCTTCAAAAGAGATAAATAAGCTCAAGTAAAACTAATGCACAGGTCAGGAAACCACAGTGCAGATAGAACATGGGGAAACAGACTGGCTCCAGAGGGGCAAAGGAGTGAGGCAAAGCTGCATACTATCCCCTTATGCAACTTACATGTAGAATATATATTAATGGAAGTTAGTTTAGAAGAAGGACACGGTTGAAAAACAGGAGGAAGAAATATCAATAACTTGAATTATGCTAATGATATTAGCTGAAATGCAAATGATCTGCAACCTCCACTAATGGAAAGTCAAACAGCAGAGTAAATAACAGGACTAAGATTAAATGTAAATGCCAAACTAATCAAAGAGGTATAGCAACCAGCATTAGAATTAACAATTAAGATCATGAAGTAATGGATAGCTTCTGTCTTTTAGGTTTAACTACCAACAGGAAAGGAATAGGCAGGCAAGAATTATGCCAGAGGCTAGCATTTGATACAGCATTGAAGAAGGCCTTTAAAAACATATTCAGATCTGAACCTACTAAGATCAGAATCATGCAGGCAATGGTTTTCTCTGTAACATTTTATGGAAGCAAAAGTTGGACTTTAAAGAAGCAGGATAGGAAGAATATTGACACCTTTGAACTTTGGTGTTGAAGAAGACTCCTGACAAAGCAATTCAGAGTTCTCATTTGAGGCACAGATATCCATGCTCAAATGATCACACTTCAGACATGTTATCTGGGAATTTAGCTTTCTGAAGGTATGTCTGTAATATGGAAGAAGTATAAGGTTACAGCCATAGTTGGTGCACATATGGGAGATCTAAAAGATCAGATTGTGTACAGATCTTCCTCGGGAAAAATCTATGTAATTACTAACAGTTGATCAATTTTATGAAACATAATCAACCAACCAAGTAATCAGTTAATCAGTCAAAAGTCTGAAATAATATCTGAACATTTCTTCCAAAAGAAAAAAAAAATCACATTCTGTTTAGTGACGGGAAATATTTTGCACGATTCTCCTAGCAGCCAGCACTGACAAGCATTCCTTCTTATACAAAATTCTGTTTATATATTGCAATGTTGAGCAGTCTTTTTATTATATGGTTCAGTGGGCTTGAATTCTTGACATAATATAGCAAATGTCGAAAGTAAAAATGTTTTCTTTGACAACAGGATTTTAGTTCTCAAATTCTAATATAATATTTCATTTCCTTACAAATACACTGGGTTTTTTTTTTAAATGAAAAAAGCAATGCAACTAGTTTGCAAGCACATCTGGGATGCAAATCTATATCTAGAGCAGTGTTTCTCAACCTTGACAATTTTAAGACATGTGGACTTCAACTCCCAGAATTCCACAGCCAGCATTGCTGGCTGTGGAATTCTGGGAATTGAAGTCCACATGCCTTAAAATTGTCAAGGTTGAGAAACACTGATCTAGAGGCTAAATAGCAGTCAAAAGCTAGCTGGTCAATGTATTTTCAGCCAACACATGGTAATCCCAGCTGTATGTGATCACTTGGTGATTAAGAGAACCTCAAATTAAGATTGAGCTCCAGGAAACACATGGGCTGCCTTTGGGTCAGTCACTTTCTTCAACTCAACCGATCACCCAGATTTTCTATAGGAGGGATAGTCAAATGTAAAATAATACCAGTGAGGTATCCTTTTAAAGGTATTGGATGGTATTAGGGCATCAACTCAATTGAAATATAAATAATATCAAATTCAATGCAGTTAACATTAAATGTTTACTCTCATATCATGCATTTCATACTTGTCTCTCTTTTGTGACAACCTTTGGAAGTCTGGGGTCTGTATTCAAGCTGTGGGGGCTAGCAGTGCCTGAGGCCTTAGAATGTTACATAATGTAAAGCTGACATGCCTTAATTCAAGATTTCCCATCCTGTGAAATTTGTAGCTGGCTGGATTTCAACTCCCAGAATTCTTAGGAATGGTCATCCTGACTGAGGAATTTTGGGAGTTGAAGTCCACATCAGCAGAAGTCGGGAAGCATTGCCTTAATTTAGCTGTTGTAAATATCATGTTCTTTCTCTTTGGGAGGGTTTTGTTTTGGTATTTTTGTCTAGAAGTAGTCAGCAGAAATTAAAAAAAAAAAAAATCATACCCCAAGAGCCAATTGAACCACAACGAACTGCAAGGTGATAAGTTAGCCTTTGGAGTTTAATAGCCTGTCACCCTAAATAAACCAGGCATAATGTTGTTTTGACCTTCCCCATTCACCATATTGTATCTGAACACTCCTTCCTCAAGACTGAATATATTCTTTCATTGTTTCCTGAGGCTTTAAAAAAAATCTATTATCTTTTAAGCATAGACTGAAGAAATTGATTCTACCCCTTTCCAGTTTTATTTTTTCACATAACAAATTTGATATAGCCTTACCCGCTGTGTTTAAGGTCAAAAAAAATGTAGATTATGAATTTTGATGCAGTGCTGATTTCAAATATTTTTGAAGGTTTCTCAGTGTTCTGTAAAGCATTGCAGTATGCCTGAATCAGAGTACACTTTTACATTCCCAAATATACTAAAGTCTAAGAAAGGGAAAAGAGCAAGCCAATCTATTTTTACTTTTCAAAAAATCAGACGTGTATTTTATGAGCTAACATAGTGTTGATAAGGAGCAAATTTTCTAGTGGTTATATAAATACGTTATTTATCAGGTGCAATGGAATTTGGATGTATGTATCTGAATGTTCTATTTTATGAGATTATTACAAATAATGTAAGCATTTTTATTGGTGCTCAGCTAAGCAACATTTGTCGATTAAGTTGGGAAAAAAAGGTATTTTAAAATTAAGTCTCAGTGGATTCATCCTCACATTTCTGCTAACCTAGGCACAAAAGCTAATGAACAATTTTTATGATGTGTCCTCCTGTTGTTGCTTTGCTGTCACCCCAAGCCTACCCCATTATGGCTACTTCATCCTATGGTGGGCTTCCTTTCTTCCTTCTGATTGCAGATCATCTGGTGAATATTTTGGTTTCAGACACAGGAGAGAACAAACTCCTGGTCCCCACAGAGGCACCTGCCTGAGTAACACCTGACTGATACTTTCTGAAGACACTTAGGTCCTACTTAGTCTCTTCACTTATGCAAATTGAACATTCTTTTGAGAAAGTGCTAGACCTGGGTTCTACAGAAGGCCGTTTGAAACCAGGAGACAGAGAGCGGGGCTGATGCTGTCAGCTTCCATACTTTGCCTCTTGTTGAATTTACCACACAAGTGGAGGCTTCAGCAAGGTGGTGTGTCACTCAAGGTTTGTGTGGGAATTTACCAGTTGAAAGATGGGCTACAACTAATTTGAGGGAGAGATCTTCATTCCACCTAATTGCTGTTTATAAGTTCAATTACTCATTGAAATTGAGTATTGCTGGGTCTTCCCTATTACGAGCATTATGAATCTTCTCCTGCTTACAATACCTTTTTTTCTCACTATTTTTAATGAGAGAGAGGGGGGAGAGGGAGAGGGAGGGGGAGGTAGGTCTGGTAGTTAAGGCAGGAGACTATGAATTCCAGTCCCTCAGTCACTTTCTCCCAGCTTTCAGGGTTATTGTTGTTGTGGGGGAAAATAGAAGAAGGAAGGAGTATTATGTACATTCACCACCTTGAGTTACTTATGAAATAATAAAGGCGGTATAAAAATCTAATAAACAAACAAACAAACACTTGTACACAAAGCAGTACTAAAATAGTTCCCTTTAACTTTACCCCACCCCCTTCCTCTTTTCCTATGACCTGTCAGCTGGGCTATTTCAGGACATGGATTAAATAGATTTTTGGAATAGACTATTAAGGAGTAGACTGATCCTGCAAGAGGGTAACTAGCCATTCTAAGCATCTCTGTACTGATGCGTTCTTTCCCTGCCAGACATAAAGGAGAATGATTGATGCTTATTTTTCTTGCCAGCAGGTGAGGCTAATTGGAAAGAGAAACAACATCAAGGGAATCCAACAGTCACTTTTCTTTAACTTGTTCTGTGTTAAAACTGAAAGGACAGCACCATTTGCCAGGCTCATTTTTGAAAGACAGAGACTGGCAATTTAGGATAAAATACCTATTCTAGAGAAAAACATCAGTCCTTCATTCTCAGCACTATTGGATGGCACAAGTTATTAATCATAATATTACGGTTACAGAAGCGGAGTACAGTACTGAGCTTAAATATATTTGGGTTCGGGTTTCACATCTATACATTTTTATTAAAACCAACATTGTGTGACTAATTCCTTCAATTATTTAAGTAGCCTCAGCCCAAAATCTCAAACAAGAAAAATTTAAAACATCCCATTTCTTTTTCTTCCTTCTCCTTAAAGTTTCTCTCTCTCCTAAACCACTGTGAACCCAGAAAGAGGAGGTACTATTCTCCCTGTCTGCTCCCTGGGAGACATGGAGTGATCCGATAATGGGAAGAATTCCTGGTTTCGTTTTCCATCCCCATACAATAATTTTGAAAAACTAATTACAGTAGTTAGATCAATCTAACTATACATTAATTTTTCATGCTTTTACAATCCTTAACACAAAAAAAATTGTACCTTCATCCCACTGAAATCCATGATTATTTTAACTATTCAAGGCCATAAAAAAAATCAGTTGTGATCATCCCAGTGACACTGACCATCTTCTACGTAAGCTTAGCACATCCACATTTTACCTTTATAGAAAATGAAGGTGGTTTTAGAAGCTTTGAGGTATAAGACCAAATAGTGTGGAATATTGGGCTCTGTGTTGGTGGAGCTGCATTCATGAGATTAGATTTAATTTGTGTTTCTCAACCTTGACAATTTTAAGGCATGTGGACTTCAACTCCCAGAATTCCACAGCCAGCATTGCTGGCTGTGGAATTCTGGGAGTTGAAGTCCACATGCCTTAAAATTGTCAAGGTTGAGAAACACTGGTTAGAAAGAGCTGCTGCATTTCACCCAAGAATGTGAAGCTGTATGTCTTATGGAAAGAAGAGAAGATGTGAAGATGTGGTTCAATGCGTCTAAGGCTGTTGTTCAAAAAGTTCTGAAGTTCTTCACTGGAGTCCCCAAAGTTCCAGAAGAACTCCAGAAATTCTTCAGTGGACTCCAGCCTCAGAGGAATGGTAAGAGATAAGAGAAGAAATTCAGGAATCAAATTTCTGTCTGCCTTTTTGGCTTGACTCATCTACCCACCCATCCACCCACCCACCCAATTATTGCTTAGTGTATAAGGAAGCGAGTGAAGAGCCTTAACTAATAATAGGCAGAAAGGAGGGAGGGAGTAGTTTGCCCAAAGTTGCCTAGTAACAGCAGAGATGAAAATAAGCAAGTCAGAAGTATAAGAGACGGGACAGAAACATGACAATGAATATAAACCTGCTACATTAACAGGGCTGTGATATGTAAGAAAATAATCTTAGAGGTTAAGAAATAAATGGTTTTTCTAACTTGGAGGCTGTAATGAATGGCATGTGGGAGTCACCTTGGGAGAAGGAGGAAGAACAGCGGACAAGACAACCAGCACATAAAAGAAGTCTCAATCCACAGGAGAGAAGGCATGGCAAGCATCTCAGAAGGGATCTTGCATAATTTTACACAGACAGTAAAAGGAAGGGAGTGAAGAAATACTTTTAGTCTTGCAAGATTCTGTTAACTTGCTTATTCAATAAAGTTGGCACTAGCACTTAAGATTGTGCTTCCTGTGTGGACTACCTTGCAGGGTTAACAGAGACTCTGTAAATAATACAGTATCTCATCAGCAACCATAAAAAAAATCAAACCACTGAATATCTTGTAAATAGCCTATTATGTCAATAAAAGTAGCTGTTCCATCAGATTTATCTATATTGTGACTGAGTCTCTCACCGTCCTTAAATCAGACCTATATGACCTATGAAGAGAAATGCTGGTGAGGAGGAAGAGGAGGCTCCCTTAGCAATTCAGGGTCTTCTCCCTGGCTCAGAGCCCACCAAGTTCAAAACCTGAATGCTGATATTTTCTAAAATTGGGCAATTATTATACTTTACTTGCACTAGCATGCATCCTGTTGAAATAGTAATTGTACATTTCTGACATCCATTTTGAATGCAAATGCTGTAGAAGCAAAGCCAATAACGCACAATTGTGAAATGACAACTCTGCACTCTGGGAGTAGATGAGGTTAGCGGATAAAGAGAAATGTTTATTCAGCAATGATGTTTGGATTTGTCTCACAGACGCAGATACCAACATTGAGACAATCACAGTATTTATAACTATGCACAGCACCATACATCCAGCTCTCATTGATTTAATGTGTGCTTTTGTCTGATGTGGTTAAGCCTTTCATTTTTTGCACATATAAAGGAACTTGGTTTTATATTGTCTTTTAAAAGGCTGACTGGCCATTTCTTCATCTTAGAATATCCTGACATGCATGCTGATTTATTAACTTGGTTTCATTGTATATGACCTATCTCTTTACAGATAATAGTTGTCCTTATCCAATATTCTGTTTTCAACAATTACATTCACTGTAGTTTAGAAGATTTTAATTCCAGTCCGGCTTAAAATTTATTGATAAAGCTGTTTTTTTTTAACTAATGAAAGATGATTTGATTGGAAGTTGTTTGTATCTAATTCTTTGGGTCTCTGATCATAAGAACATAGGAACCTCCTTGCTAGAACAATCCACTACACCATTTCTAAATCAGCATTATTTTTACAGCAATTTAATCAAAAAAGTCATCATCTGATTGTTTTCAAATCAGAAACTACTAATAATATCTAAGGCAGTTGTAGAGGCAACTGGAAATTATACTATATGAATTCAATGGAGATTCTCAGTCATTCAGATCATGGTTGTCCCAAAGATGCTTTTTCAAGAGGCAGCTGGACTTTCTTTGTTTTTCCTTGAAGACATTTTTCTTTTCATCTAAGAAGCTTCTTCAATTCTTCAGTCAGAACTGAAGAAGTTTGTTGGATGAGAAGTGAAATGCTCCTTTTCAAGGAAAAAGCAAAGAAAGTCCAGTTGCCTCTTGAAAAGGCACCTTTGGGACAGTTCAAAGAAGATTACCCCAAATTTAAGCCAATCTTCTAAAGAGAAAATAGAGAAAGAAAAACAAAAACCACAAATGTCCTATGCAATGTCTTCTCCACCCCATCCCTTAAGGACATATCTGCATTTACCAGTTCGTACAGGGTCCAACTTTCTACTTAACTCTTCACCAGTACAGGTTACTCACTGCTTCCTAGAAGGAGGAACAGATGATGTCATCTTGTTCCCATTCCCAGACTATTGCAAGTTATTTCACAATGAAGTTTTCCAGATTTCATTTCAGACTGCTGTTTTCTGATTGGACCATATTAAGCATTCCAGTGCTTCAGTCCATTGCTCCATTCCACTTCTAGTCCATCCTCTTGAATTGACAGCAGTGTTACCATTTTTAAAAATAAGAATAATAATGTTATTACTTTTTTAAAATTAGTTCTTTATCTTCTACTCTGATTTTTGTATCTTTATTCTTGTGCAGTTCTTGTTTAAATAATCCATCTGTTTTATGCATTAAAAATCAATAGTAAAAGAAGAAAGAAATGGAAAGAACTGAGTTGAAATATTAACTTAATAAGCCTGATTTCAAAGGTTCTGATGTTATGCAATGAAATCATGTGAGCTGTTGGCTCAAATATTTAACTTACACACATTCCACCTTCAGGTATAACATTTTGCCATCTCAAAGGTGTGCTGATGTTGAAACCAAGCTGTCAAAATAAATTCTAATCAATACATCTACTTAATTAAGCTATTTGCTAAAGTAATTATTTAGACACAGCAATATAAGGCAAGAAAAACCAGCTTTCTCCAATAACAGATTAATTTTCATTATTCCAGTAGCTGTCATATGGTAAAATAACAATGAAAGGTTGATTATTCTGATTTTTTTTTAATCTTAGATAGAGCTTTACATATGGCAAGCTAGTATTCCAATGAATATGGTTAATATGTTGCTTTAGATTTGTTGCAACTCTCACTGTTGAGAATGTAGTAAAATATGATGAAGTCATTAATAATTATTATACTAAAATGGTAGAAGGCATTTAGAAAACATAATATTGCTGAGATTATTGGTGGGTCAATATTGGAAGAAGAATTCTCTGCCTTCTTTAGAAGAATGGGTATTTAAGGTTTCTAATTTAGCAGAAATGACTAAAATTTCTGCTTATTTAAAGGACCATTCACAAGAGAGATATTTTAAAGTATGGAGAAGATGGATAGAATATGTTCAGAAGAAGTATGGAACTACAAAGTTTCACTTATTTTATGAGTAATGAATTTGTTTATAAACTTATGGTGTTAAAGTTTGAAGAGAGCTAAGGGTTAGTATGATTTTGGTTATTGTATAATTAGTAAACTTAAATAGATTATATTTAATATGTTTGTATAACCCTGTACTTGGCTCTGGGAAGTTGGGGGTGGGGGGAGGGGAGTGGGGGGAGGATGGATTGAAGTTTAAGTAGCTCGGATAAGTAGAAATAGTTTTATTGTATATAATATTGATGTTTTAATTTGGAGAGAGGAATTGCTTGGGCATTTCCCCTGGACCGCATCCGGAGCGAGAAGATAGGAAGAAGGGGAGAAGCAAGTAGGAAGGTTGAGGAGAAGGAGGAGATGGGGAGAGTGAGGAAGAAGAGGAAGAAGAGGGAAAGCGGGAAGTAGGTTAGAGGGTGGATGCGGTTTGGGGGGAAATGGGTGAGCAATACTGAAAGTTGTGTGTATCAATTTGCTTTATTTTTTATCTGAAGTATTTTTATGAATGTAATGCATTGTATAATTGAAAATAAAAAATTTTTACAAAAAAAAAAAGAAAACATAATATTGCTTGCAGTTTTTCAAATAACTTGGTTAAAGGATGAATGTACATTAAATAAACTTTTATTTTGATAACATATATTCTGATTCAGAAGAGAGTATAGGATAACTTAATATACTATTTTCTGGGAATGAGAGAAAGGTTTAATTGTGACCAATACAGTTGTTTGGATGCTTTCTTATTATTGCCAATAAAAATTTAGAAACCAATTTGTAAATTGGTTAGTTGGATTTTCTTGCTGTCTGCTAGAACTTAGATTTTCCCATCATGTGGAAATACCTGGTTGAGTTTGGAGCTGAAGCAGATTCAGACCTGTTTAGTATCTGGGTCAGAATCTTCCTAGGAATTCCAAAACTATAGATTAGACTGGAAAGTAAAAAGAAAAACAAACAAACAAAAACCTATCTTGGGCATAAGGTAATGACAAACAATTTCTGCACTACTGCCAAAAAAACATCACGGTTGTTTAGAAATGGGCAAAATGTTATATGCATGGAACAGTGATCTGGAATCATCTGTAGCTAAACCAAAAGACCTTGGCTTTTGGTCTGTGCAAAGAAAAAAACCTGGGCTGTTTTATTCCAGAGTTTGTGGAGGCCAGGAACATTAGCAGTGGAGAAAATCAGGAAAAGTGACAAAATAAGGAAAGGGTAGTCCCATGGGAGATCTCCATCCTAGGACCATGGTAACCTCTTGCTGAGATCATCACTAGAAGGAACAGTGGCATGGAACAATATTTCATCAGTAGTTGGGGGGAGGGGAAATGAAGGTATTGGAAAGACCAGAGCTTGTGGGGCTGCCATTTTGGGATATTGGCAGTGGCTGAGAGAAAGGAAGGCTCTGGAAAGATCAGGAACCAAATCCAACAGGTCAGGGGATATCCTTTCAAAAAAGCCACGAATGCTTTATCAGCTTGAAAGTGTGTATCCTGAACAAGAAAATCTCCTAGAATACAAGTCCTACCCCAGCTTTTAAAAATAATTAAAAAGGCAAAATAAGTAATTGGCTCAGCATTGTTGCAGGTAAAATACCAAAAGAAATTCTCATTGGCTACTGGAAGCAGTAGATTTGAGGGATGGTACTGGTAGTGGTGTGGACATTGCTGAGGAATGAGTCTATAGATCTTTAGAGTTTAGTTCTCATTACAAACTTCCAAAGTTCTCATGGGTCTGTTCTTCTTAAGCTTCTTTGCTTATGAAGATTTCCATTCTTATCTAGTTCTTTTCAGAGAAAGAAGAGCTTCCTCATATTCTTCTGTGTTGATGGAGCTTACAAGTCAATGAATAATTATTATCATATCCAGGATGCCCAGAAGAAAGGCAAAAGGATCTCATCAAAATCATTCTTCTTTTAAAGCAAACAAAATATCCTAAGGGAACAGGATGGCCTGTGTGACAAGTCTCTCTCTTGCCTACAAATTATTCCTTGCAGGGTACCAATGGTATGAAGTCATGCTTTCCTAGGGTGAAAAAAGCAAGTCAGTCTAATTTTCTATTGACGGTCATGTACTTTTGTTTGTTCCAGATACAACGTTATTCTTTCCATCATTCAGTGGAAACTCCTATTTAAAACTACCTTCACTATCATCCCTGTCAGACGATAGATTTTCGTCAGGGCAAGAATGGAACAAAGTAACAATCTACTTAACAGTGAAGACAACTGCTTTAAATGGCACTCTCCTTTATGGTGAGCATAACTGTTTTATTTATATAGTGAGTCTCAGAAAGGCAAGCCTGCCCAATTCTTTCCTGGCATCTCCACTCTCTCACCTGGAGAAGGGGTCTGGAGGTAACTGTACTTCTAATGAAAAAATTAAGCTTCAGTCCTTGTTCTTGAATGGGAGATATCCCCTTGACCTGAAAGATGAATGGAATAGAACACAACCACCCCACTTCCCCAGGGTTAAGCCTTTAAATAAATAGTTCCAGTTTATTCTTTGAATCAGAATCTTCAGGCCTTAGTGATTTTGAAGTGTGTGGATTTGAGTAAACTAGAAGAGAGAAGTTTTATTTTAATAAATGAAACAAAGAATGTACTTGAAAAATGGGATACTGTCCCATATTATAGGACACTCAGATCTGCATACCAAATTTAACAATCTGTAAATCAACTAGCCAAGCTATTAAGAAGCAGAGGAGTCATGTGGACCTCAGCAACCAGGTTTTTTTTCTTTGCCAAAATCTGTGTAATGATATTGTAATACAAACTCTGTCCCTTACAAAACCATCATCTTCTGTGTTTTGACCCTCTGCAGATGCCAACATGTTCCCCCTCCCAATTTTAAGGTCAAAAATTGCAAGACAAAACTTCTATAAAATCACAGAAAAAGTTATGTTGGAACTTAATTGGCTACACAAAGGACCAGATTTTCATGGAGACTGAAGGAAGTTAACAAGTCACATAAATTGCTGACTTTCCCTGAAGATCTTGCAAGGATGATCATAGGAAGGATTTTAAATTATGTCCTGTAAAACCAGATACAATATATTGATATTGACAGAAGGAGAAGATGGTAGTAGTCTTCAAATATCTGAACAAATGTCACACACCAGAACATCAAAGGCAGTCCTCTTGGTTTCTGACTGCAAAATCCATAATGGTAGTGTCATGATACAGGAAGGCAGATTCTGATTTAATGTTCAAAGAAATTTCCTATCATTAAGAGCAGTTCAACAATAAAATCGAACATGCAAAGATGACCATTTCTCTGGAATGCTTTAGTTTCAATTCAGTCCCTTCAGTCTTAATAATCCCTTTCAACTCTGAGATTCTACATTAGATCTTTCTGATAATTAAAAAAGATCAAAGAATAATTTTCAGTTAGCAGATGGGTTCATGGCTGAAAGAGTCTTTGGGGGTCCCTATATATGAAGAGAACCCCACCCAAAATATGACTCATTTTCACTCACCTCACTGAAACCAGTTAGTGAAGTTATAACCCCAAAAATAATTTCAGTTTTTTCACTTTCCCACCGAGCTCCTATTTTACTGGATCATAGACTTCTATAGATAACAAAGGTATAGACCAGGGGTATCAAACTGCCGGTCTGTGGACCAGATACGCCATCCAGAAGCCGTGCCCACCCCATTGCCGGCAGTGGCAAAACCGTCCCAATATCTTGTGCAACGTCATGTGACGTCGCAAGTTTGACATGTCTGGTATAGACAATAAATTATATTGACATCAAATTCATTGAGAAGAAAAAAAAATGGACCATTTGTTACTGTGACTGAAAATAGTCATGGCCGGGCCTTATATGATGAGCTTTGCAGATTCATTCACTGAGCCATATATCACAGCTATAACTTGCCAGCTAATTGATATCCAGTTATTCTCTAGGGAACTGTTACACTGCAGTCTTCCCAAACATAATTATTTTCTCTAGACAGATCCAAAACAGTATTACATTCTGCAGGATCCTGCATTTAAACTTTTGGGACAATTTTCATCAGCAGCCCAGCAGAGAGCTAAAAAGCAGAACAGAGCCAGATGGTGATTTTGTAAACGATATGCTCCAGATGTTCAAAACTGCATAAAGGTGGTTTCGAACCTTTCAGCGAGCAGAATGACAGAATAACAAGAACTGAAAGGAAACTTGAAGGTCTTCTGGTCCAAACAGAAGACCCTATACCATTTCAGACAAGTGGCTCCTAATCTCTTCTTTAAAACCTCTAGTGATGGAGTACCCACAACTTCTGGAGGCAAGTCATTCCACTGATTAATTGTTCTCACTGTCAGAAAATTTCTCCTTATTTCTAGGTTGGTCCTCTCCTTCAGGAACATTTTCTCCTAGGTGAAGCATTCACAGAACATTTGCCTACGTGCATCCAGTCATGAGAATTTTGGTGTGGATCATTTTGCAGTTGTCTCTTAAATCCCAGAAAGAAACCCTGCTGTGTTCAGTAGTGATTACTCTCATTGGATTGCAGTCTAACAGTCAGCATACCTTGTGATGGTAAGGCCTGAAAAACTAAACTGAAATCATGGGAAAACAGCAAGGATTTGAGGCCTACTTTTATATCAGCACAGAAGATTACCTGTTTGGTTTTGATTAAATATTTCCACAGAGACAACTAAGGACTGGAAGATTTCCAAATTATAACAAAGCTGTGGAACAGGATACTTGATGTTAAAGGTATTTGGCAGAAAAAAAATAGCTTGAGAAAATATGTAGCGGTAACAAGAATCACAAATGAATAGGCAAGAGAGGAGACTGGCAAAAATGCATTAAAAGTCAACAAGAAGATTGTAAGATACAACAATAAACAGAATTGTGTGGTCAGATGGTGAAGAAGAAGAAGAAGAAGAAGAAGAAGAAGAAGAAGAAGAAGAAGGAGAAGGAGAAGGAGAAGAAGAAGAAGACTAATTGGATGATTTTTTAATGAAGAAAGAAAAGTAGACTCAATAACTACTAACCAGATAATATATCTCTTCCCACCTTCTGAATCCCAAACAATGAATCCCAAACAAATATTACAGAAATTGAGGGCATGAAATCCTCAATTCCATGAAGCAAGCAAGGAGACTGCTATGCAGTAGGAAGGCTGGTACAGTAGCAACCATCTTAATGAACAAGATCTCACATCCAGCAATCTGTAGAGCAGTGCCCCAGAGAGGCTCCTGGATAGCAATTGCTACACCTTGTACTGTCCTGAAGTCTCAGCTGATACCATATCTAAAGCCCCACTGGGCAAATTTCTGAAAGGATCAGCCAGGTCTCAATGATGCATGTTTATCTGGCCCTCTCCTCAGTCATTAAATCACAGAAAAGGGAGGCCTTATTACAAGCCAATCTGGCACTGAGTAGCAGCAGCTAAAAACCAGGGCCTCTGAATTCTGCTTACTGGACAGAGGGGCTGAGATCAGGGAACTAGAATGCAAAAGTATAATACATTTTGAGACAGACCTCTTGGTAATACAGGTAATCTTTGCTTAATGATTGGCCGCTGAACAGCCATTCAAGGTTAGGATAGACTTCAAAAAAGATACTCACATCTCACTCTTGGAGTTATGTCTGCTGCACTCCTCTCTCCCATGATCAAGTGATCGCATTTTGGCAACTGGATTGCATTTACAACTGCTTCAGTGTGTCACACAGTCATAGGACCTTGATTTGTGACAATTTGCCATTTTCCAGCAGAAAAACAGCACAAAACACCCACTGAATTCATTTAACAACCACTTAATGACCATGATGGTTCACTTAATGACCATTGTAAAAAGATTGTAAATAGCTTACAACCAAAATTCTGGACTCAATTGCGGTCATAAATCAAGGTCTACCTCTAGAACAGACATGGATTCTTGCTGAGATGAAAAAAAGGGGAGGTTTCCTTATTACTAAACAAATTTTTGAATTCTGCTTCCTACACAACAGACTTTGTTAAGGTATGAGAGAAAGAATTGAAAAAAGTATTGTCAGATATACATGTAAAAATACATAACTACTCTGCCTTAAAGGGATTTTTTTCCCTATGGCTAAAGAAGTGGGCTTCTGTGTTTTCTGCAGGGGAAAAAAAGAACGAAGACTTACCACAATATGCATGATCAGAGTTTGAATATACATTTGACCATATTCCAGGTGGCATATTATGCACGTTCCTGTAATAAATTATTGATAAGAAAAGGCCTTTTTGCTTTCACAAATGTTGATATTTGAAAGAGAAACAAGTGCATCGTTGGATCAAGAACTGGAGTACTGTGGCAGTTTCAATTGCATATGTTTTGCTTGCTTTTTAGATGCAAATATACTGGTAGTCCAGCTAGATGGGAAACTTGAAAGAACAAAAACATTTTTATTTTTATTTTATTTTTTTACTTCAGTTGACTATAACACATGAAACATTGATACATAACTGCAGGACTAATTCCAGCATTTCTAATGTTCTGTTTCTGAGATGATTTTAAATGCTTAAGTTTCCCATCAGTGATAAGTCCAAGTTTCAACTGGTTCATGCCTCCTTCTTCCTTCTCTATTGCTTAAGAACATTTCCCTTTTGAATGACCATCTCAAAAGATCATGTAGATGATTGACATCAGACTTTGTTCTCTTCCATTGATGGGTTGTATCCATTCAGAATCTCCTGCAAGGTCTTTAGCTGACCAATCATAACACTGGTCTTGTAGCTTGTTCTCTGTCATGAGTGCAGCCTCTCTAGAGATAATACGTTATCTCTAGTGGACAACTAGGTCTTAGTCTTTCAATACAATAGGTCCTCGGGCAAAACCTGTGAAGGGATGTTTGATGGTCCAGGTTGTAAGGTATCAGTCAGACTCACCATTCTTGGCTTTTTTCCCAATATTCTCTTGGCCACATAGAAAAGTGATTTTGCTTTCCTATTGCTCTGGGGCTAAGCGAAGAAACTAAAAACTCCCATCATTTTGGAAGACTCCACAAGCCAAGCAAGGATTGTGCTGTTTGGTGCCCAGAGATAAAATACAGTGGGTCCAGGTAGCTCTTCACCAATAAAAAAATATTTTTCCATTGCTTAAGATTCTTAATTTTTCTTAAGTGCCAGTGGGATATCGGAAGCAATTCTCCATTGAGGAAAGAAATTCAGCAGAAGTACCAATGTAGAGCCATCACAATGTGTGTATTATATTGGTTTCTGGAATAAAAGAATGCTACAAAAATACTCACAATTGGGTGGGAACTTTAATGGAAAGGAATTGGTGAACAAGGAAGATATATAAACGTAAAAATAGATACTGAACTATCTCCTATTCTGTGTTATTTGAAAGAGGCTGTTCTTATAGATAGTGGGGGAAACAACATTTCTCCACTATCTTCCCTCCCCCCCCACAAAAAAAGAGAGAGAAAATAATATGAGCCAACTGGAGAAAATCAAGATGGAATGTAAAACTGAGCAAGAACTGAACTTCTTTATCTCTGTGTAAATGTCATATAAATAAATAATCTTATTCTTTTTAAAGCTAGTGATGAATACACAGAACATTTCCTTCATCTTTACCTCGTGGATGGGAAGCCAACTGCTCGGTTTGGCTGTGGCCCTTCTCCAGACATTTTGACAGTGACTGCCAATCACTCCATTAATAGGGATGTCCTTGTACCAATCACACTAAGGTAAGACTTTCCTGTGCTTAAGTGAATGATGACTGAACATATTATATGCTTGCTTTCTTAATAACAAAAACATAAGAAAAATCAAATGAAAGGTCATACATAGTTATCTTTAGAAAATTATATCTATCTGTCAGCTAGCTAGCTACCTACCTACCATCTATCTATCTATCTACCTACCTATCTATCAGCTATCTATCTGATTTGAATGCTACCTAACTCTCAATGATTCTGGGTGATTCACAAATAAAACATTAGAAAATGCAGTGAAACAAAAATAAAGAACAAAAGATGACAAGAATGACAAGAACCATGCAGGAACAATAACAACAATAAAACAAACCTACACAATCCAAGGGGGCTTAACTCACCCTTGCCAAAGGCCTGGGAGAAGAGCCAAGTCTTCAAGGCTACTTCAAAACATTGCCAGATTGAGGCAGTCTGATTTTTGGGGTGGGGGATCACTTCTCATAGGGCAGGAACTGCTCTCATTTCTCTAGGGAAGATCAGAGATGAAATATATGCCTTCTATGAAGAATATTCCTTATGCCATCCCTGTCCCTTGGGTGAAAAGGATTAGGCAATAGATAACGAGAAAGATTCCCTGGCTGAGAAACTTAGAAGCTGAAATCAGTCTGAATATACCATACAAAAAGAGATGGTATGGGAAATTGACTTGAAATAAGATAAACAATATACATTCCTTTGAAGAATTATAAATATAATATGGAAATAAGGATGGTGCTGGGGCTTTGAATAGACCTCCAAAAGTAGCATTGAAAATGTGTAACTTATTTTATTTTCACTATTAATTTGTGTATAGATTACCAGTGCAGCTTTCTCAATCAACATTAAAGTCCATAGAATAGTTCAATTAACTTTATACAGTTCTGCCAGTATTAGGGTGATGTCAAAATTAGTATGTTGCAATAGAAGTTTGGACTGGCACTTTTAATGAATTCCAGCATTCCTGGGCTGTACAGAAAATGTAGATTTGTGTCTGACTTCCGAACTCAAACCAAGGGGGCTGAAATGATAGTGGAGGAGTGTGTGAGCCCTTTCTCTCCATTGCATAGACAGGCTCAGTTGATAATTCATACTATGAATTCATCTAGGTTCATTTGCATAATCTGTCAGAAAATTGGAACTTCATCCAGCTTGTCACTTGTAGAAAAGTTTATGTATACAGATACATGATAAATTATTATTATTGTCCTACAATAATTGAGAGCCACTCAGTACAACAGGGATCAGCAGGGTCTATGGGGATTCAAATTAGCAAAATAAAGGATAGAGTTTATGCAGATATAATATGTGAATCTTCTTAAGACTGGATTCATTATCAGGTTTGTGATAATCTATTATTGCTAATAACATAGAAAAACAGATTATTATCCAGAGTTGCTTTGTATAGTGAGATAAGAGACATGTTAATTCGATAAATAAATAAATAAATACACACACAAATATGCAAATTTAAATCTGACTTAAAAAAATTGAATAAACTGCAGAAAATTCTAGATTTGCATGAAGGGAAGAAATCATTAATGCTAGCTTCTTTAGCACTGTGATATTCAAAGATATACCATGTTTCGCCAAAAGTAAGACCTACCCAAAAAATAAGCTCTAACTTGTTTTTTGGGGGGTGGGCCTAATATAAGCCCTACCACCAAAATAAGCTCTAGTTTTGGGGCAAGGCGAGGCACACACCTAAAAATCAAGCTAGGGTGGGGATGGGAGGGTGTAGCTGCCCCATGCGCCCCACATCCACTTACCTTGCAGCCAGACCTTTCCTGACTTCTTCTGCCATAGCTCAGTTCTGCAAGGCCTCTGCAGCTATGAATCCATAGCTCGGTTCTTGGCTGCAGTGGCCTCCCAGAAAGACCTTTGACTGTGAAATGCAGGCCGGAGCTCCATTCTCAGCTGCAGAATGAAGCTGCTCCTTTGGGTGCAGAAGAAGTGGGCTGGCTGGGCAGGGCTGTTGGTGCCAGAGGTGAGTGGAAAAGACACCCCTCCCCACCAAAATAAGATCTGTTGCCTCTTTTGGAGGCAAAAATAGATAAATAAGACTGGGTCTTATTTTCAGGGAAATGTGGTATTGAAGATTGTCTGACTTGAAGGAAGAGATAACATTCGACCTGCTGATAGTATTTTTACCCTAGATAATAATATTCAAAGAATGGCATTTATCCTTCTGAAATAATCAAGCCAGAATCCCAGAATCACATGGAATGTAATTCCTTTGATGATACATGTCAATATAATAAATAAAACATCAGCTTTATATATATGTCCTATTTTGATTTTTATGATGTACATGGAGCTTGCAAAATAAATTTAGAGTATATAATTCATAGGACAGGAAGCATCTCAGTACAGGCAAAATTGTAGCCTAGACCTTTGCATTAATGTAAACTGATTTAGCTTGATAGAATGTAGTTTGCAAATGCAAGGTGAAGAAATGGACAGCACAATTCTACATGTTTTTACATAGTGGCCTTTGATTATATATCTCATTGATTACAAATGAGACTTACAGATTCCAGAATTATTTTGAGAATGGATTCTCATCAAATACTGTAATCTCAAAGAAGGTGATCAGATCTTTAATTTTGTCAGGGAAATTAGAATTGGTATAAAGACATTTTAGTCTTACTTCAGGTCAAATGAGTCCACAGTAACTGAAGACAAATCAACCCAAAAGATTCAAATGAGTGGGGAACTAAATCATGTGATGTAGAAGGAGGTGATTCAAAGAATACAGTTCAACAGATCAGTAATGCAGAGTTACTAACCTTATGCAAAAAAAAAAAAAAAAAATAAAATCAGGAGGACTCTAGGAGTATCTTTTCTCACTAACAAATTTATGGAAAGACATTAGCTTACATGACCTGAATTTCATTCCTTCAAATGGAAAAAATGTAAGGTGATCAATCATCTTCCTTTAGGGAGGACAGTCCTCCTTTTGTAAGTTCTGTCCTCCCTCAAAAAGTGTCCTCCTACATGTCCTCCTTTTCGATATTTGAAGACTAATCTGCAGGGCTTTGTTTTTTTTTCCTCATAGAACGCTCAGAACAGCGTTCTGGCACCTTTTTTTTTTTTTTCATCTTTTGCATGAGCTGTGCTACTCCCACTATTGGCTTTCGAAAGCCAATAGGAATTGCTGCTTGAGCGCGCCAAAACACCCGGCTGGCAAATTTTGCACATGCAAGTTGTCTGTATTATTGTTGCAATGAATAAATTGTTTCTTTTATTTATGATATTTTTTCTTCAATTTATTTGTGTCCTCCTTTTCATTGTAAAAAAATTGGCCACCTTAAAAAATGGCAAGACTGATGTAGGATTTAAACTGGGATGAAGGAGGCAGTAAAAAAGAGAAGACAGAATTATTATGTAATTCAGGCTACATGTGAAACTAATTACAGTACCTTATCCACAAACCACCATCAAAGCTGACACCAGCCAAAGGACAGAATAACTCAAAGAAGTAAAACTGCTTTTGCTATTGGTTGATGGTGATTTTGTCAATGCTGAAGGTGTTCAATGGATTGCACCCAAGGCACCTATTCCTGTTGGTACTGTCTTTGCTTCCTTTTGCCATAGTCATTCTACTTCTATTTGTAGGCCTTTGTATTTTGAGATTTTCTCCAGTTCTTTCTCTTCTATTTTGCTATCTCCAGGTGCTGCAATATCTGCTAACCAGACTTTTTGTCTTTCTTATTGACATTTATAAAGACTGGGGTGTTATGTGGAAGATGTTTGTTTGAATTCTAAAGTCCCGGCGCATTTTATCATGTTTATTTTTTATTATTTTCCCTATTTTGTGATCCCACTAGTTCTTGCTTGCAGACAAGAGGTATTTCTTGCAGATATTCCAATGCACCCTTGTTGCTACTTTGTCATGTTTTTGCTTGTGATTACTCTGTGTGATCTTCTTGCAGCAGCTAACTAGGTGGTCCATTGTTTCTTTAGCTTCTTTACAGAGGCAGCACTTGCTATCTATTGCTGTCTTCTCAATTCTGGCCTTGCATCACTTTATTCTTAAGGCTTGGAGCCAGAATTTTCCCCTCAGTCTCTTTCTACAACTTTCCTGCTCTTAGCCATTGCCAGATCTTGTTATTGCTTTGCTTGCTATGGTGTGTGTGTGTGTGTGTGTGTGTGTGTGTTGTGTGTACTATATATTTTGCCTTGTTTTAGTTTGCATTTTTCCTAAATACCATTTTATATATAAACTATACATGCAGCTGAAAGGTTTCTTGTATAAAAGAAATCATCAATAACATTAAAATATATCAGTTCTTTAACTGTTCAGAGGAAGCACAACAGGAAACTTATATCTAACTCAAATTCTAAATCTCCAGACTAATGCTAAGACAATTTGCTTCATCCATTTTACCTGCAGAGTTAATAATTATCATCTTGAATTCTAATTACAGAATTCTGAATAACTATGATCTCATCTTCATACCTTGTTGATACCACCTACTCTAGATTTCTCCTTCTATTCATATCATCGCCTGCTGTTAGAATTGTGACTGATCAGAACATAAAAGTAGCATAAGGTTTCATAAGGCTGTAGCAGAGGCAAGGATGAGAAGAGAACCCCATTGGCTCTACCATAGACCTAGGCTAACTTTACTAATTTCCTTCCTTCCTTCCTTCCTTCCTTCCTTCCTTCCTTCCTTCCTTCCTTCCTTCCTTCCTTCCTTCCTTCCTTCCTTCCTTTTTTAATTTGTAGGCAGGAATTATATATAAGCCTTTTTAAATACAGAGTATGGTATAAATACTTTTATGTGTGGGAACTGATAATGTTACAAAGTTTGGGTAATGTCTGCAAAATGTCTATAGAGATCATCCAGGTCATGGTTGTTTCAAAGGCGCTTTTTATTTTCTCAAAAGCCCTCTGGACTTTCTTTCTTTGTTTTTCCTTCAAGATGTTTCACTTCTCATCTAAGAAGCTTCATCAGTTCTGACAGGATGAGGGGAGAATGGAAGGATCATAT